ATGGAGGGTGCAAGAGGCGCTGTCTTGGGAGAGAGCCGGCGAGCGAGGCGAGGCTTTTTTTGACTCTTGACAGCAGAGGACGCATGGGTGCTTCAGGGGGGCAGGCAAGGTGGGGGCCGTAAACGATCATCCGGCGGGCCGCAAATGGCCCCCAGGCCGCATGTTTGAGACCCCTGCCTTAGGGAATCCACTAGGTAGGATCAAGCACCTGCCCAAGCATGATCTGTCCTCATGCTTAAAACCCCTTCCAAGAAAGCTGTGACTGAACAGCCATTTTTGGTTGTTACCAGAACACTGAAGGAACAAGAAAGGGGAGGGTGGGGAACAGAAGTTTCGAAAGTGAATGGCAGCAAATGTTGCGCACACCCCCATTAAAAACCCCACAGATGGATGTGCCCAACATCCCTATTTGATTCCTCCCACCCAGACTGCCTGCGGGAGGAGATCTCCACCCCTGGCTCACCTGATTGGCTGCAAGGGCAGCTGCCCTGTGATCCTTCAGGCTAGGGCACTGCCTCCTGGAAAGGAGACAGCAGGCCTCCAAAATGGCAGCTCCCCTTGCACACAGCCCTGCCTGGATGACAAATACAGCTGCCTGGTTATTTGGAGGTTGTTACTCCTACTGATACTGATGGTGCAAGATATTAAAGAACTGGAGACATATGGAAATAAGATCAGGTGATCCTCCTCCCCATACAAATTTTAGCAACCAGAGTTGTTCTAAAATCTTGGCTTACCAATTTAAAACAATTGGCAATAGCTGCTAATTTGCTTCCTGAATATTTTTTTTTAAATCAGATTTTGCAAAAATGTCCTCTCCTTCACAAATTCTTAAGTCTTGACTTCTGATTTTTAGGTTTGACTATTTGGTCTCCTGCCACGCACCAGCAATGCTGAGAACTAAAGCGGGCACTACAACAACAACAACACCATGTTGATTATTGATTGTGTGACCTAGCTCTTCCTATGCAAAATATTTTATTTGTGTTGAGATCCCATGTAACTTGAACCTCCCTGAGCCAGCAAATCAGTGTCTTGGCTCCAATACTTGAGAGAGCAGGTAGGGCCCATGTGTGATCTCTATATAGAAACACCCTTTGCACCTAAAATAATAATACCCTGTGGGGAAGGTGGCTATGAGCAGATTAGAGACTTTCTCCTTCACCACCCAGGTTTGCACATAAAGAAGAAATCCTTTGGAACACATATTTGTGAGACTTCAGGTCCTCCTCTGAAATGGTCCAGCCCAGATACAGATTTCCCACCTCAGAGAGAACTAGAATTTTGTGTATCTTCTTCAAAAGGATAGCCTGAGAACTAGAATGAGCTTCTATGTATATGCATTGCAATAAATGGACACTAGTGCTTTGGCAGTTAGTTGTCCTTTAGAAGGGCCTTTTATAAATCATAGGAGACAGGTTCAACCCAGAACATTAAATTATGGATCCTTTTGTATGCCAACAAAATGTCAGCCCCAGACAGAGTTGGTGTGACCCTTCCCACAACTGCTTCGAATTTATATCCACATAACCCAGCAATTGTGGAAAGAAAAAAAAGAATATAAATTTAGATTCAGAACAGAGCAGTGGTTCCTAATACCAGCATATCTGTTTTCAGCCTCTACCTGGAGTCTTTTTCTCCTAGTGGTTGGAAGGTTGAACAACTCATCTGTTGTACTGCTGTCCAGTGAGGGTGCCAGAAGGAAAATTCACAGGTATCCGATTTTCCAATTTCATCATGTAAATGATTAGTTAAGTTAACCGTTATGGATGAGCAAATGTAGGGGATTACATGCACAATTTAAATGACTAGTTTTAAAAAAATACACGTTGCCCTAAAATATGACTAAGCCAAGCCAAGTTTAATTTAACTGCAACAAGGGATATACTATATGGCTCAATTCTATTTATTTTTACAGAACCAAGACCTACATTTATTTTCTTAATCTATATACTGTGTAGGACTTTTGTGTGTGAGTGGGAATAGCTTGTTGGGCACATTAAGCCATGAATGAACTTTAAGATTAGGCTTGCCAGATCCATACTCCTCAACATAGGTAATTTTTAATGCAAATAGTCTGTAAATAAGAAATGGATAAAGTGATGATCTTGGTTTTGGTGCTTCCAGAAATATCTGTGAGCTGTATATCTAAAACAGCTACTACTGATCAAATTTGAGGGAAATCCACCTCCATTGCTTTGAAGTACTGTATCTAGAACTGGTGATGTGGTTTTTATCGAGTAAACCAAATACAAATACAGCTTCTCTTCTAATAATAATGTAAAATAATCCTAAAATAACACTGATGTATTCCAAAGTGTGAAGTATGGATTTCCCATCCTCTTCTGTGTTCTGCTCTGGAGTTCTCCATTGCATCTCTGGAACATTTATATGCTCACAGAACTGAATGGGGGAATATAAACATTTTCTGTATTTCCCCATATGGTATCTATTGGCTATATTCTGCCAGTTTCAGTGTGCTGTTGTATACAGCAAGCAGCAAAACTGTTTTTGGAAATTTTTTTTTTGGAATAAAATCAAAGAACTTTGGCTTAACTCTTCTGTGGATCACTGTCTGAATTTCCAGAAAAGATAGCAGCTATGAGTGTGCTCGTGCTGCGAAGACAAACATGTGTCTTACTGACAGATCAGTGGTAGAAGCATAGCTAAATCAATGACCTGATTATTATACTTTTCTAAATGCCTTCTCTTTATTTTCTAAACTAGGGATGCTGACCTCTTCCTGTTGGACACAAGACGTGTTCAAGCATCTGATGTTGGCTGGCTTGTATTTGACATCACTGTGACCAGCAATCACTGGGTGATTAATCCACAGAATAATTTAGGATTGCAGCTCTGTGCTGAGATGACGGATGGTAAGTTACAGATCACAAGATCTTCTGGTTCTTATCATGTCATTTATACACTGAGGACTAGCATACACAAGCTCTACATATAGGCCAGACAGATAGTACTAAATCATAGCAGGCTCACTGAAATCAGGCCCACAGAATTCAGTGAGGAATTAGACCTGAATGTAGGGTGGATTTGATTTATATCAAATTGATTTGGATCACTGTTTAAATGTTAAAAATCTGATTTTTGGCAATTTAGATTTTTAAAAAGTATTTTTAAAATTAATTTTTAAAAATAATTTTTTAAAAAAATCCACCCAGCCTGGATGCAACCATCTGTAAGCAGGACCCAATGCAGTTGTGACTACCCGTGGGAATCCATAATACCTGTTCTTCCTTAACATGTGGATCCTCTGCATCACTTGTCTTGATGCCAGAGTAGTTGTCTAGCAAGGAGAGATGATAGTCCCAGGATGTAAAAAAGATATCAGTATTTTTATTTAAAGATAAGAGCCCTATATGTTTTGGCTAATATATTTTCAGCCTTCTTCAGAGGCTATAATGTAATAGATAAAACAGAAAAAGCATACATGTGAGTTTCTTACTTACCTTTGGGATTGTAGCTCTTAAATCAGAGATGGGGGTATTCATATACAAATATGAATATCCCCACACAGGTGGCGTTAACGAGTGTCCAGCTCCATGGGGCCAGATGGTCCGTTCGCCACACTTCGACCTTGCAGCGAGGCTTGTCCTCCCGCCTCCTGCCAGGAGTGGCGAGTGGATCGCGCACCACAGATCCTTTGGTAGAATCGCACGGTCTGCATCTGTGGTGGATGGGTGAGTGGACTGTCTGGCCCCATGGGGCTGGACCCCTGTTAACGCCACCTGCGCGGGGATATTCATATTCGTATATGAATACCCCCATCTCTACTCTTACATGTAAATACTCTATGAGTGGGGGGAAAATGGGTGACAAATGATGATGATGATAATCATCACACAGTATTATAAACAGTTGCAGATTTCAGAAATAACGTCATCAGAGCTATAGAAAACAGCAGTATTAGGATCAGCGTTATATATATTTAACAGATAAGTGTTTGGTTAAAACTTGTATCTCTTGTTATAGTACCAGTCAATGTTTTTATAATTTTGATTTTCTGCGCCTGGTCTTTTTGAAATATCTGGTTGTTATAGTTTGTGTGTTCCCCCTCAAAAAAGTTGGAAAAGGACAATAGGCCATATGCCATAGGAATACATTTTCCTTCCTTCAAAATGGTATTTGGTGTTATAGGCATCGTTTGTGAATGAAATGTAGTTTGTTTTTTTGCTAAACCCACATTTTATATTGAATTGTAGGTCTAAAGAGCAACATAACACATATGGAAGTTGTCAACATATAATTTACAGCTTCCCTAGGGTTGTGGTAAATGAAGAAGGGATCATGTTTTTTTTAAAAAATTCTCTTTTCTAAATGTCTGTATATATCTTTGCGATATTCCACTGGGTTCCCTCACAGCTGACAGTCTATGCTTTTGATGCCTGGAAAAAAATTGCAGTTTTAACACCAGAAACAATCACTTTCACACCAGTACAAGAGACGAGAGGCAAGGTGATGAATTGCAAAATAAAATGTATGCAGATGACCAAAAAATAAAAATAAAAAAGGGGTGTCTTATGTTATTTTCTCATGCGTACAGCACATCCCTGAAGAGTTTGGAATTATTTCCAGTGTAGCAGCACCTGTGTTTTAATGTAATACACACCAACAAACACCAAACACACACTCTATTCTGGATAGGGTGAGAAAAGAGCATACTCCTTCTAAATGGCATATGTGGACTGAACCACATTGAGGTTCACTCAGTTCAACTAACCAAGATAGCTAAAGGCTATGGTGTTTTTCTGGTCTGTTCGCCCAATGGTCTGTTGCATGAGTAGTTCCATTTTTCCAAAGTGGAAATCCACTACATTATGTAAGCCCATTTGCTTTCATTGGGTGATCTCCCAGCTTGGGCTGTGGCACCTGGGGCTTTTATAAGGGGCAGATTGCTTAACTGAAGAGGTCATTTGGGGGAGTCTGCAGACCAGGTTTAATCAGTGAGGTGAAAGGCAAAAGGGAATGAAAAAAATTGGAGATCTCTGTTCAGACTTTCTGTTTGTCTACATTATTGTAAAAACCTCTGAAAGGTGAAGGTGAGCTGGACTCTGATCAGTACCACAGCATTGTGATGGTCAATCGCTATATTTTCCTGATGAAAATCCCATACACATACAGTAGCTTATGTTCATTCTGTTAGGAACAATATATCTGTAGTAGTATGTTTCCCCTATTTATTTATTTATTTGTTTGTTTGTTTGTTTATTTATTTATTTATTTATTTATTTAGTTAGTTAGTTAGTTAGTTAGTTAGTTAGTTAGTTAGTTAGTTAGTTAGTTAGTTAGTTAGTTAGTTTCTTGGTTTTATATTTAGGTAAACCATATCATTTCCCCTCCTGCTCCCTAGTAAGTCAACTTATGTTTGCAAGAGTTTCATAAATACTGGTCTACATGTTGCCCCTGTGTAGATTCTGTACACAGAAACTCACCAAGTTTGCACTGTATCTTTCTCATTTATTTCGTTTTTTTATTCTCCAGTTCTGCTGAATATACAGTATATATGTCTGACTATATGTATAAACTACATTGTAAACATTCTGAGACATGGCCCAGATGCTGTTGGCCTCTCTTTATATACATCATCTCCAGTATCTCATTGTAGCTAATAATGGTTGGATATATTGCAACCTACACATTATGCCTTTAGGGAGTTTTTAGTTAGGAGGGATATTCCTACACATTATGCCTTTAGGGAGTTTTTGGTTAGGAGGGATTTTTCTGGATTGGGGTTGAATGTCAGTCAATCCGGTAACAGCCAATAGTTCTCTTTCTACTTCAGATTCTTCTTCCTGCTCTTTTCCAGTCAGGGTTCTGTCAGTGATGGAGTGGACAGTTAAAATGATGTGTTCTGTCAGCTACGTAAGCAGTCAGTTAGTCAGTAATGAAGGTAATTAACCAGTTAAGCTCAGTGATGTGACAAGTTAAAATGTTTACACAATATGTTGTTTGTTTTTATCTATGAAGAACTGTAAGTAAACAGAAATGTTTTATTCTTTCTCATTACCAAAGTCTTTGAGTGAATGTACAATGTTGACATAGTAAGTGCTTGTAAAGATAAACTAACAAATAAGAGGTGGACTACTGAGGGAGACTTGTAGCTCAACCTGCTTTGTAGGTTCCTGACTGAACCTTTTTATTCACTGCAAAATTAGAGGAAGTTTATTTATTTTTAATTTTAAGGTCACACTGAATTTCCTCACACACTCCAAGAACAATAATGAGAACTTCTCATGTAACCAAACATCCTGTGCATGTGTGATGATTGGGGGATGGAAATCCTTACTTATCTTGTCCTTACAGGTGAGGATGAGAAACGGAAACATTTTACTCCTTCGCCAAGGAGAGAGTGGGCCATTTGTTGCTTTCCTAACATCAAAGTGAAATAAGAAGGATTTTTTTTTGCACATGCTGATTAATCAAAACTGATCTATGAAGAACTGTAAGTAAACAGAAATGTTTTATTCTTTCTCATTACCAAAGTCTTTGAGTGAATGTACAATGTTGACATAGTAAGTGCTTGTAAAGATAAACTAACAAATAAGAGGTAGACTACTGAGGGAGACTTGTAGCTCAACCTGCTTTGTAGGTTCCTGACTGAACCTTTTTATTCACTGCAAAATTAGAGGAAGTTTATATATTTTTAATTTTAAGGTCACACTGAATTTCCTCACACACTCCGCCCCAAGAATAATAATGAGAACTTCTCATGTAACCAAACATCCTGTGCATGTGTGATGATTGGGGGATGGAAATCCTTACTTATCTTGTCCTTACAGGTGAGGATGAGAAACGGAAACATTTTACTCCTTCGCCAAGGAGAGAGTGGGCCATTTGTTGCTTTCCTAACATCAAAGTGAAATAAGAAGGATTTTTTTTTGCACATGCTGATTAATCAAAACTGCTCAAAATAATGCAGCTGGTGCTAAACAAGAATGGCTGCTGCTTTATTTGTGGATTTTGAAAGGTTAAAAGCCTTGATGGGGGTGTCTTTTTACCAACCAGCCTCTCTGTGTGTGTGATTTGCATCTCAAAGGAAAAACATTTTTGTGCAGACAAATTTCGAAGATTATAAGAGACTTTAGCTAAAAATAACACCCCTGATCACACTCATACCTGGAGGTGAGGAGCTCACAGGTCCTGCAGATCACTAGTTGACATGTATCCTCAGCTCAAGATAGCCTAAACTGAAGAAGACAAAAGATTTTAACTAGTATTTTTGGCATCCCTATGCTGGCCATGGCTAATGCAATTTACAGTCCAGTATTATCTGGAGGGCTACACTTTGCACATCTTTGATGGGCCACATAGTCTCACTGATCATTTAGGACATTATGATGTGAAATGGCCTATGAAAGAAAGCACCTTGTGTTCATGTGATAAGGCCCTTGAGCACCATCACAACTAACCAAGATGGCTAAAGGCTAGCGGAGCTGACATTAGGCTGAAGATGTGCGGAATCCAAACAACTCCCAGCTGTGCAATTTTTGGAAGTTAGAACCATCCTAACCTTGGCCAGTCACCAGTGTTAGTGGTTGGAGGAGGTCTGGAAGTGGCGAACCTTTGTCCCTCCCTTGTCTATATCTTCCTCCCCTTTCTTTCCCTTCCCTTCCCTTTCTTTTCCTTTCCTTTCCTTTCTTACCCTCTCAGATCTGAACAACAATAGCAGTTCTGTTCGCTAACCCTCTTGCTGAGAGATCTTTGAGAAGAGCCTGCAGATGGGCATGCTATCCATTTATTTATTTATTTATTTATTTATTTATTTATTTATTTATTTATTTATTTATTTATTTATTTATTTATTTATTTATTTATTTGTCACCTGTCTCCTAAAGGATTAGAACAATATGAAAAAAATAAA